ATCATTATTGGTAGCTATATTTTCTGTATTTAAATCCATACAACTGATTTCACCATCCATTAGTTGGTTGTTGATTGGGGCATTGTCGTTGCAATGGAAAACTTCTGCCATATTATTTTCCTTTGTTATCATTGCTTCATATTTTTTTTTCATGACTTCCATTAATTGAAAAATTTCACCTTCAGTAGCTTTCAAAATCTGCACCAGACTAAAGCTGCTTTTTGTCTAATTTTAAATTGCACACTTCAGAAGAAAACAGCAATGGTGTAATTTCGGGGTCATTGTGCCAATGCTGGTATAAAAGGCAAGTGCCAAATATTCGTTCACTGTGTAGATCCTGCTACAACTTTAGAATAAAAATGTCTGTTTGAATATTCAAACTTTAATTTTGATAACAGAACTATGATAATATAATAATAATAATCCGGGGGGGGGGAAATGAAAGAATGAGCTAGATCAAATTAGTTAAGGAAGAGTGCAGTTTGCTGTGTGAGCTAAAATTTTCTTTTGGTCTTATTCTTTTTCTCTTCTCACTGTTATGCCAACAAAAGAAACCATTCTAAACAAATATATCTCCAGGCTTTGCTGATTATTTAGGTCAGATAAAAAAAATTTCACCCCCAACTCCACAACCACTCAAAGACTAAAAGTGTGGTCATGGCTAACAGCAATCAATGTATTGTCGTTGGCCACGGTCAGCAAGTGTTTGAAAGTGGCCTTATAAGTATAAGTACCTCATTCGAAACAAAAATAATCACTTTAATGTCATACTTCGTTTTTCTGGAGTATTTTGTTTTCCACTCCTAAATGTTGGTAAAGAAAAAGTGTTTAATCAGAAGGTCCAGATATTGGGTGTGCAGATTTCAGACTTTGTGCTGTATTATGTCATATTTAAAGAATTAATTGAAAATTTTTGAAAAGTTTTCCTTTATTCTGAGATAGGTATTTGTTGTAAAATTGAGCATATTTGTTTTAAAGATGACAGTAGCATATTTCTAATGAAGAATATGCTACTGAAGAAATATGAGTTGAACAAAGATAATTTGAGTAGAATTTATGTATAAATAGAAAGATCAGTGCATACACTTTTATAGAAGAAAATATGTTTTTTAGAGACACAAATATATAGCCATTTACTTGACATTTTACATTTTGAAAATCATTATATATAGCCTTTGTTAACTGACAACATCAAAAAATCATATTTTGTCATTAACAATATTATAATTCTTACATTATTCTTGTAATGACTGTGATTTCAATACTGAGTTTTCTCATTTCTGAAATAGTACATATTTAAAGTGTAAATATTTTTCTAAATGTTCATTCAAACAAAACTTTATGTGATTAAATGGATTGATTGCCTTTTTTTCTTAATAGTAAACATCATAACACACAGTTGTGTTAAATATTTTACTGAAATTGATATTTTATAAACAGAGTTTCTATTCAGACTGGGTAGTTTTAATCATCTTACTTGTGGGAAAAAAAAACTCTTGATTATTATTAAAATTTTGTATGTTCAGGAACATGTTATACATTGTTAATTTTCTAATGAAAAAAGAAAATATTTGAGAAAGACACTAATTTATTAAGTACATTATCAGATTTTAGTCATTACCCTACTTGATGATAACCATTTACTACTTTTGCTAACTAGGCAGGGTGATTAACCACTCCACTAGCTGATGAAAAAGTTTTAAAAGTAGTATTTGCCCTGGTGTATTCACTGCTTTGAAAGTCATAGAAATTCGTAACTGCATTAAAAGTGTAATAAAAGAATTTAGTGTTATTGAAATATTATTCATAAATAAGTCAGCGTAAGCTAGTATTCATGATATGTTTTCAAATTTGGTCCGTACAGATGTTTGGTTTGATAAAATGGTAGAAAATTGAGAAATTTAGGACTTGGAAAAAGTTTCAAAGCTTGAATTTTTATTCAAAATGGTATATTAGTTAAAAACAAATCAAAGTATCACAGACATATAACTGTTCATCTTAAGTGATATTTTTCTTTTCTTCATTTATTTATTGCTTATTTCTTTTACATTATTTTTATGTTTGTTTTTATAAATTTGTAGTAAATTCAGAAATTTAAGACTCCGAAAAGCTTCAAAGCTTTATTTTTATTCAAAATGATATATGAATTAAAAAAAAAAAAATATTGCAGACATGTCACTGTTCATCTTAGATGATATTTTTCTTATTTTAATTTTTTTATAGCTCATTTCTCTTAAATTAATTTCAGTTTCATTATGAGGAGGTTCAATACTATTTGACGTGCTGATAATTAGGCTTACAGCACAACAAATTTTAATAGTAGACTAGCGAGCACCTGAAAAGAAAATGCTTAAAAGCATTTAAATATGGATGAAATCAGTTCAAACATTCCAAGCAACAACCAATTCGAAATAAAATTTTTTGTTGCCAAACCAGGAAACAAAACCTTTTGACACTTCAAGTTAATATGTATGACATCATGATTTAAATTTAACCCTTTGTGGCGCACTATACTTTAAAGTCGAAATTTCAACAAAAAAAGTTGTATGCAGTCTATCTAGGCCTAAAGGAGTATGCTGGTAAAATTTTGTTAAAATTGCACTTACTGTTTTAATTCTGTGGGTGTTCCATGAGGTGGAACAGTGCACGGATAGAGCTCTTAAAAGTGCGACTAAGCTAGCATTGCAGTGAAGCACGGAAATGAGTAGAAACTTTTGTATAGTAATGAAAAAAAAACACTATATTAAGACTGTATACATGGTTTTCTGGATATGCACAACATTCGAATATATATGGATAAATGAGATAAATTTATGTATATACACAAGTCCTATATACAAAAATATTTACAAATTTTTCGATTTCTTAGCTTCGTGAAATTGTTCAAAGCATGTCACATCTTTTTGATAGAAGCGCAAACCAACTTTGCAGGTTTTGAACATAAAACTTGTTTTATGCGGCTTCTTTTCCGTGCAACAATATGTTTAGAATTCCAATTAAAAATTTGAGGTTGTGTAGAGGGGCCTGTGTGAGATGGATTATCAACCTTCTCATCAAATAAATGAGTTTCAATCGACATATCATCATCGGATTACACAAGTGGTTCAGGAGCATATATCTCAGCATCGCTGCTGTCTTCATGCTCTAATTCAGAATCAGTGGGTAATTCAGGAAGCACTTTTAGAGCTTCAAAAAGAGTTAGACCTCTCCGTGCCATTTATGGAAAATTAATAATAAAAAATTAACTACAATTAATATTAACAATAGAGAAAAATAAGCTATGAGTTATACACACAAAAAAAAAAAAATATCTACATAATTATTGAAAATAAACAGGAATGAACTAAAAAGCGACAGCAAAAGATTTGCACAGCTCCCTAAGTAAAGATGACTCGAGCTACTGATAAAATTCCCGCCTGAAAACTACTCATAAAAATTTCAAGATGCCTATATTAGGGCTTTCATAGCACAAGCCACACCTCACCCCTCAAGACTGCTTTGTTTGAATTCATTCCCCCAAAACAACGGAAATAGAAAACATATACAACAGATGTCTTCTCCTAAAACAGATGTTCTGATGCGTAATAGCATGAGATCACTAAAGGCGCAGTGTTCCTGCTAATGGAACACCCCGTTTTATTCAATGATTCAGCACATGCTTTTTGTATGAAAAATGTAAAAAAATATATGACAAATAATATAGAGTACAGCCATCAAAATTATACAGAAATTGTTTTTCAAACAAATGTTTTTCTATCACAAAAAAATTTAGAAAATAAGTGGATTTTAATAACACATCATAAATGAAAATTTGGGTCTCTTTGTGATATGCTGCCATCTACTATTTAAAAAGAGAAGTTCAAAGTATATTATAAAGGCATTTGTATCCATTTACAGTTGAATTTAATGGTTTCAGAAGCGATTCAACATGGGTGTTCCATGTAGTGGAACACTGAGCAACAAAGGGTTAATGTAATATAACTTTTTCTCAATATCAGTAAAAGAATTGACAATAATATATAGTGTCAATTATCATAACCTGAAACAAAAAATTTGCCAACAGCATCTGTTTATTTAAAATGCTGACATTAATGAAACATTGTCGGCATACAATGACATCACATGCAATCGCATGCTTTCTTTAACGTCAGAATATAACCTTATATTATAATAATAATATGTTTCAAGTTTGGCAATTATTTCATATTTTGTAAAACTTACAAATTTTTTATTAATAAAACCCTAAAATTTGAAAGCGAGCAGTGGCAACACTTTTCGAAATAAAGCATCTCCTGCATGCGAGACTGTTACCATTTGGAAAAATGAGTGCAAAAATTAGCATTTTTGGAGTGTTTAATTAATTAATATCTTGGCTGATTAAATCGTACGAAGATGAAAATGGTCGAAATGGCTTCCCATGAATTTTTGAAATTGAGTACCTCTCTCGAAACTCAACTCTCCGCCGTTCTGGAGGAGATGATGTTACAAACAAAGAAACAGACTAAAAGAAAGCTCACGGATTTTAATAGTATAGATTAATGCAACTAAGAATAGCTATACTAATTATTATAGAATTAAAGGCTGTCAGTTTAAACAAATTATTTTAAAATAAAATTTAACTTTTTTAAAATTATGATTTAAATTTTAAAAAATCATAATTTTTATGTTTCCTATTTTTGTGGCTTTAAATGTTTTGTTCTGTATTTTTTTATTCATTTTTAACAGTTCTTTCAAATTTTGTTTTAGCAATTTTTATTATTCATATACTGAGACAACTCAGAAAACTTCATATCTGTAACACTCCTTTCTCCCCCAAATATTTCATATTGTGTCCTACAATTTAAATTTATCTTAAGTATATATTTATTAAATATTCTTATTATATCCTATCTAAATATTTTTTACACTTTCTGGATGTTCAAGGTTATTTTTATTTGCATTAACACTTATTTTATCATTAATTGCTTAAATATAGCAATTTGTTTTATATTTCATTTCAGATTAACTCTGAAAATCATGAAGTAAAGACAGTTTGCTATTGGGATATTGATGCGTTAGTTTCTTTAATTCGTGAACTTCAAAATGTAGAGGATTATCACCTTATATTGATAACAGTCATGCAGCTGGAAAACAATGACAAAGACCCTATACTATCTAACCTAAGAGAAGCATTTCCTTTGAATCAAGTAAATTGAATTTAATAGCTTATATAACCTTAAAATTCTTTAGTTTTAAGGCTATAAAAATTATGACTTGTTTTTGTGTATAAGTAATGTAAATATTTTATTTTTTATGAAACAAATAAGTATTTCACATGTGGTGTGGCTTAATAATTTACTTATATTTGGTCTATTGCCTGCATTTAGACTATGTTTAAATAATTTTATTTATGCATTAATCAGTTAAGTATTTGTTTGTTTTAGCTTTCATAACAACTAGAAATTATATTTTTTCTCTCCTCTTAAGTTTCCAAATGTATGAAGACAAAAATAAATAAACTACTTGAGGAAAAAAAAAAAAAATGTCACATCAGGAAAGAATCATTGAAAATGGAACAAAGTTTGTTCATAAGTAGTTAATTAAGTACTTAAATAGCGGTTTAATTTCCTAATACATCCAATCATAAGACACTTTTTTTTTTTTTAATTTTGCTGCCCCTTTTCAGGGTATACATTTTTTAACACTTCATTGTATTGAATTTGAGAGTGTTTGAATCATGTCATGCTGTATAGTAGATCACTCATTGTTGATGTAATTTAACAGTTTATCTTTGTTTTATGGAGAAAATGAGGCATTCGGCCAATACCTGATCATGTCCCTCAAATACTCGATAGCAAAAAAATGGGGGATTGAATTGCCGAAAGTAGTATGTGCACGCTGTTCGGTGCATTTAGGCTGCACCAATCAGTGTGTGGTGGAGCGTTATATTATTAAAAATGGTGCTTGGGATGATGCCCTGAGAATATGGAAGAATGCAGCATGTCATCAATATAATGTTAGCCCTTATAATGTTGCTGTAATTTATACTGAAGATGAATGGCTGTCAGCACTGGCATTTCAAACCATTATTCCATGTTGATGGGTGGTTTGTTGCTGAAAAACAGTAGATATATGCATGCTGCGCCCAAGTCACTTCCACATCCTCACACAGCAATCATCATTTATGAGATAGAAGCAAGATCTATCACTGAAGACAACACTGCTCTATCATTATTAATGGAAGCCTTCATATTGAGGCTTGCATTTCACATATACATTAGTCAATCACTGTGAACCTGTATATGTTGATATTGGAGCAATGAAAACATCCTGTTTACTTTGCAAAAGGTCTCCAGCTGTAAACTGTGGATGCGATATTGCATGATGCTTAGTTCAATAATCAATGTGCTTTGACTTCAGTCTCTTTACTCTGGACCTTCTACAGCACTGTCCATTTCCTTTCTGGGTCCATTGTTGCTAAATCCAATCAACAGCAATGATTTAAATGTGTGTTTCCTGTATATTATGATGCAAGGACAACCAGTAGTGAAGGTTTCTTGAATGTGGCTGTTTGCTGTGCATATTAGGACCATGATGAAATGGTTGGCTTTTGATGTTTGGTTGCTTATATCCTATGTGATAATTATCCGATTGACTTGCAAAAGTAATCAATTTCATAATTTGTGTGTGTGTGTACATTTTCACAGACATTTGCATGGCAATGCATTTACTTTTTCATGTTTTTTTCCCCCCACCGTTAGACAGTGTATTTTAATGTTAAGTAAGGATTAAAATTGTAAAGTTTTCTTAATATAAACTGCAGACTTAAAATTATTAATGAAGCATTATGAAATCTGAGTTAAAGTAACATGCTAAATAATGGTTATTGAAAGAGTTAAAGCAACAAGAATCATTGTAATATTCATAAATTTGTAGGACAAATTTCTTAATATTCATAAATTTGCAGGACCAGTTTTGAAGGCTTAAATATGGAACTTTCTTTTTCAGCTGCAGAAATACAAACAATGATAGCGGTAAGATATGCAATAAGAATAAGAGGAAGGAAGTCAAGCTACTGGCACCATCTATTGATAAAAAATGCAAACAACTAAGAAATAATTTCCTTAAAAACTGAGTGTAAGTATATTGGCATTGGGATTGTAATGGAATTCAAAACTACTCCTGCAAATTTACGAATATTACGCTGATTCTTGTTGCTTTAACTACTCTAATAATCATAATAAAGTATTTAGTTTAAAACATTATTTTAATATTTGAATATTAAAATAATCTAAAATAATGCCTGAAAGCAAGCATAAGCAATTTATACAGTTTTTTATATAAATCTATTTTCTTTCTATTTAGTTGCTCATATAGATTTTTTAATATTTTATAAAGAATAAAATTATTAAAATGATGCTAATTGATTTCTCACAATGATTATCCAATCTAAAACTACATTTAATGACTGAATATTTAAAGTTATGGAGCGGTGGTAGTTGTATCTTGGGTTCAACTCTGAGCAACAATGGGCTGACATTTGATGACTACCTTCATATGCATTGTAAATCTAAGTTAATTTCCCTTAGAAAGTCTGCACTAAGTGGATAGCTGTTAAGTGCTTCATCATTTTTATGCAACTATCCTTATATCTAAATATCTGATGTATATCTCAATTGCAATTTATATTCTTATACATGAGTAATATCTTATGATATAGAAGCTTATAATATCTTGTTTGCTTTGTTATCCTAAACTGAACTAGATGTAGAAGATTGTTTAGGAAATTATCCCAAAGTCTTAAAGTACGGCATGACTTAACTCAAAAAGGTAATGACTAAATTAAAATTAAATGAAGTTAAATTTAGCCTAATGACTTCACAGGTTAATTATCGGGCAGGCTGGCTATGACTGTAAATCGCCGTAAACAAGCCTTAATGGCAAGAAATGCTTAATGCCACAGAAATCTTAATTGCTAGGAAAGCAAGAGCAAGATAGCAACATGGCTTTCAGGAAGTAGAATATGCTCTGATTTCACCTTCCAAAACCTTTCCTTAAATATCAACTTCTTTCAACCTCATTTGAACACACGTCCACTAGATCATTTGTATTCTGGCAAGAAAGTGTGAGTTGAAAGCAAGAGTGATTGGAAAGGTTACTTAAACATAAATTAACTGTTAAGTAAATAAAATAAATTCCATCAAGCTTAACTTATATTGCTATATTTTTTATGTGCAAGATATGTATGAAATATGGAATAAAATGTGCTATATGAATGCTATTTAATTTAATTATACTTTCTCTCTGTCTCTCGCTCTCTCTCTATATATAATTATTGACTATTGATATGTTATGGTAACTGATAATTAAAGCAATATTTCTCTTTTGTAGACAATTTGTTTTGACCTGACATCTGAAGTCTTAGAGTTGCCCAATGAAAGGAATATCATATATATCAATACTACATGGTGGACTCATTCTTTGCATCAAGAAAATATAATAAAACATGATCTCACAAGAGTGCTACTTTATGCATTAAAAGTATGGATTATACACATAATACTAGTTAATATTTTGAAAAAATAATTTCCCAATACCATAGTGCTCAAATATCTAATTAATTTGTTCCAAGGCCTACCATGATTATGCTATGTGTAATAAATGCTCATGTGAAATATCTAAATATGGTATAATTTATAAATCATACATAATAAGAACTTACCAACTTAAAAAAATCTGAAGGGGTTCAGATTTTAACTGCTGCCCAAAAGTGCTCTTTTTAATATGTTTTATCAGCCAAGGTTACCAACAGAAATGGCCCAGGTGAAATAGTGAAACATTTTACGGGATATTAGATGAATAAGCATGTAGATTAACTTGGAAACATTTTATATCTTCTGTATATTTGAAAAGGGAAAAAATATGCAATGTAATTCCATAAAAGTATTTGATGTTTTTAATTATATATCTCATGAATTAAATGCAATTTTATTTAAATCAATCAAATTAAAAAGAAAAAAAAATAATATTCTTAAGAATAGCTTAAGTTTGTTAGTCAGTCACTGACAAATTAAATTTGAAAGATTAATATCTTGTATTTGTCAAAGGGAAACAGCCTTGAATGAAAAGTGAAACAGCATAAAATCTTATTTCAAGACTAATAACCCATTTGGGTTAATAAAATATACTACTAAAATGTGTATTTTTTTGTATACATTAGCTGTATCGTACATATGAAAGTAAAGGATACTGATTTTTTAATATTATTTTCAGGATGTGATAGAAGGCTGAAAAAATACTGCACCTAATACTGAATACCTTTATGTTCACTTTCAGAGATTGATGGAGATGGGGATGCTGCTTAATGCAAATTACCATGCATATTGTGCTTATAGTTTGATTTACCATAGTAAGGCAGTATAGGACAAGTTTGGGCTGCTGTATTTAAGCACACCATGTAAATAATTTTTTCAATGATTCTGGACCTTTCTTTGTTTCACACACCTAAGAAATGTTTGATTAGTGTTGCACTTTTCCAAGCATTTCATACTTCATAAAAATAATGATGGCCGGCTTTTTACTCAAGGATACACACTATTTGAAAGCACTTTTAGTTGCATTCTTTCTTTGAAATTCTGTGTCATATACCATGGTAGTAACCTGTGATTTCTCTGTCTGATTTTTCAAAGAAAATTCTATTTCACAGCTGAAATTCATTCTATTTCACAGCTATTTTATTTCACAGCTTTGAAGCAATAAATAAAAGAAGTCCTATTGTACTAAATCTTAAAACTGTAGCTTGTATTAATTTTATAGCAAGACCAGTATTAATATAAAATTGGGATTAATTAATAATTGTCATTTCATTCTCATTCAGTTCATCAGATTAATATTATCATCACAAATTTGATATTTTTGACAAATTAATGTATGAATGTCATAGGTTCAAAACATTACTTTTTTATATGTGCAAGATTTAGGGGATTTATTTTGTTGCCTGCATACACTAATGTAGTAACTGACATATGCAGCTGAAATATTTCTTAATAATCAAATGCATCATAGTGAGTTTTAATATAAACATAAGTATGTGCTATGCAGTCTTTGAAATGTTATTCAATTAAAGAAATCATTTAAATGCTGTTAGTAATTAATAGTTTCTGCTTTTGAGTTATCAAGTCTCTTAACTATACTGTTCTGTCTATTTCATTACACAAGTGCCCAATCTTTATTAATTTGAGAATCATAAAAAATGACATTAGAAAATTTTGATTGGTTTTTGTTCATTGTAACAGAAGAGGAGGTTGGTGTTTGTCTATCACAATTTGACTATGTAAGGCAGTATTGTTAACTGCCCAATCTTTATTAATTTGAGAATAGCAAAAATGATATGAGAAAAGTTTGATTCTCGTTTCAGTGTAATGGAAGTAGAGAATAGTGTTGTATCTATCACAGTTTGTGTAAAGAAGTATTGTTGAGCATCTGACAGTGTAACAGTGACATGACAACATTTGTAGAAATATGAACAAAGTAATCATTCAATAAGAGTAACAAAGGTAATTTTTATCAGGTGGAAATAGTACCCCACAACTCGTGCTGCATGGAGGGCACAGTTGTCCAAAGAAACATGGAAATATAGACAAAGAAAGCTAAAAAATGTCACCCTCTGCAGGGCAGCTACCCAATTATGTTACTGATTTTAATTGAAGTTAATAATAAAAATACTAATGTAACACATTTTTATCAGTGGAGCTGAAAACACTGCTCCTTGAAAGTTACAGCACTTATTCTGAATCAAAATATGATCATCTACAGCTGTCAAATAAAAGCAAAATGTTGCTTATAAGTGCTAAAATGTAATATAAATTTTGTTGTAACTTCTAAACATGATCCAATGATAGAAATGAGCCAATGATAGAAAATAAATATCATGTTTATGTTCAGGAGGTAAAATTCAGTAAGAAAAAAGTTTAATTTCTTTATTCCAAATATGCCTAATCATGAGCAAAACATTGCTTATGGGTTTTAAAATGTAAGATAATTTTTCTAAACAAAATCCAGTCTTTTAAAATTAAATAAATATTCATGTATAAGAGACAAAATTAAGTAAGAAAAAGCTCTGTAGCTGGGAGGGGGGGGATTGAAAATTTGTGGAACAGTGCTGTTATTAAATTAGCCAATATTTTGAGTGTATCAAATGAAGATGTAAGTGATTCAGTATGAATTTATGATAGAGAACTTAGATGTCTTAAGTATAAAAAACAGGTGGTTTCATTTAACTGTGTTAGGATGAAATAAAAAAAAAAATTGTGTTACAGTCTTGGCTGGGGATATTAATGCTTGGAGTAATACTAGCAATGTTTTATTTGCATTTAGAGGTATTTTTAATAGAGGAAATTATTTAAAAAAATTCAAAGTTTGTGTCTACAAAACTCTCTTCAAATCATATTTGAAAGGTAAAACTGAAGTATTCAAAAATTTGCTGGATTGTTTTACTTCTAACACTCTGTGCTTAAATTCATAAAATTTAAAAAAATTCTTTTATTTGTAAAACTTTTGACCAAACTTTTTATTAAATACAGTCCAGTCTTGATTTGCCAAATATTTTCTTTTCATCCAATGAATGTTAATAAAAAAGCATTAATGAATATTTTATCCTAAATTAATAAATTGTAAAACATTATGCTTTTCCTAGTTCTGTTCCTCCTTTTTTAATAAATATTAAAACTTGCTTTTTAAATGTAAATAGGAGTTATTTTCACTTCAAGCATAGGGTTAAGCATGTTTAAGCATGTTTTCCCCCTCCCTTCATCTTAGCCAGCAGTTCAACTGAACTACATTCTCTATGGTGTAATTCATCCATAAAAAAATAAAGTGTTGACAGCTGTTATTCAAATAAATAATATACAATTGGGAATTAAAATCTGAAATTAGATGATCTTAATGTGATGAATTTTGTTGAAGATTTATGGAGTGGATTGATTTCAAATATTATTAGTAATTGATTTTTAAAGAAAAGAAATTTCATGCATGAAAATTTAAAATTATTTATTATTATAATTAATTTATTGATTGTTGGGAAATTATGTGTGGTAATGATACAATCAGTAGGTGCTATGTTCATACTGTATAAAGTGAATATGATTAAATATGGCAAATAATGTTTGTAGATTATCTTTTTATCCTAAGGATTATAAAACCTTTTAATGAAACATGAAAGAGAAGAAAATATTCAATGCTTCCCAAAATATTGATAAAGAATTAGAAATTCTTTGACACAAACACAAGCTTAAATGTTACATTTCTTTTCTTAATGGTAATTTGTTGCATTACAGTGAATTATTAAATATTCATTGTTATACTTTCTACGTTAAATAGCTTCTTTTATACACTTTATGGAGACTTTCAATTTGATATAGTTGAAGAATTTTCTGTTTATATTGCATAATTATGGGTCTATTGTAACATCTGATCATTTAATAAATTTTACTTCTAGTTGCTACGATGATTTGTTAAATACAGATTTAGCTGTATTTTTAGAAGTATTTTCAGTGTGTAAGTTCTGCAGTAATATTTTGTTCTGAACACACTGGTTGCCATGACTAGTGGAAAAAGTTCATATATGAATATAGGTATGTATGTATGCTATGCTTTTTGTTAAATGTTGTTTTCATGTAATAAAAATTTTATTTCATTTTATTTAGGCTATGAAGAATGGTGATTTTCTCATTATTTGTGTACAGAGTCTCTTGACTAGGTACCTGGTTGGCTTAATATTTATGTTAATGTCTGTGTTTGAAAAGGTAATATATATTCTATTCATAATTTTAAATAATATATATTTATTAATAATTACTTCATATGTTCATGTACAGTAATACTCCCAGTTATTATTTTTATATTAATGATGGTATTTGAAATAATATCTTTCTCTAGATGTGATCTTAAAGTGGTGAAGGTTATACTAGACTAAGGGTCTGTAAACTACAGCCCATGGCCCAAATTTGACGTGCCACCTGTTTTAATCCAGTCGGGGCTTAATATTGTATTTTACTTAAAATTAAAAAAAAAAGTGTTTTAACACAACTGCTGATAGTCTAGTTGAAGAGTTCTGAAGAATAGCTGATTGTAGTGCTGTTGGCAGCACATATTCATATTTTACTATGTGCTATTGCTGTAGAACAAGCATTATTAGTTCCTTTAGTTTGCTTTAGCAGTGCATGTGGTATTCATTGTCTGTCATCTATTGATGCTTACTGACTGTCAGTGCCTTGTGATAATTTGCCTTTTTATTTCTTTATTATTATTTTTTGCTGTTGTTATTGCTGCCTACCCTTGCCGTGTCACTCTCAAGACTAGATAAGAAGAGAAAAAAGGACTTCAAATGTTGTGGTTTGAAAGCAGATAGAAATATGAATTGTTTTGCCATTAAATGGCAAAATATTGTGTTTATTATATAATGATGTAATAGCTGTGTGAAAAGAGTACAACATACTTTGTCATTACCAAACGCCACTAAGCACTCGACAGAATATTCAAAATTCACAGAAAATGAATGATGCTAAAATTGTTATGTATTAAAATTGTTATTATTGTTAATTATTAAAAACGAATGATGCTAAATTATGTTTAAAACAGACTGCTTCATCACAGCACAATTTATTTGTGAAAGTAAAAAAGATAATCGAGCTGTAATTAAAGTTAGTTTACAAATAGCTCATTTATTATCTATGAAAGGGAAATCATTTGCCAATGACGAATGAATTAAATTATGTCTGCTTATGGTATACAAGAAATGTGCCATGTAAAAATGAATTTATCAATCTTTTAGTGAGAACAACTGTTAGAAAAATTGCCACATGGACAGGGCAAAGATATCTCCAAGGAAGTTGAGAAAATGCTAACACAGTACCATTTGCAGCAGAATTAGTTAAAATGAATCATAGCTAATGGTAGAAATATGTATGGAATTGAGAAAGGATTAGTTGGACAAATTTTTAAGGCTTGTGGAGAAACTAGATGTTTAGCACGTCTGGTAATTCATTGCATTATTGATCAGCAAAATTTTTGCAGGAAACACCTCAATCTGTCTTACGTTGTTGAATGAGTAGGTCACCGGTTAGTTTTATTCACTGTCATGGACTTAACCATCGTTTAATTTGTTTAATGTAATTACGTCAAATCCTCGAGGGCTATCTGCCTTGGGGGAGGTCTTTCTAAGGGAAACTGTCTTGCATACCTGTTACACATAGGAAAAATTAGCATAACACCCATGCAGCTAGTCTATTCACGGGATTTGAAACTCAGACCGAACAACTAGTGTTTAGCAACTTTTACTGCTCAGCCGCTGGTGGGCTAACCATTGTTTGTTTCATGATTTTTTATTAGAGATCAAAGCTGAAGATACTGACTTATCTTGTCAAATATCAGTTTGATATGTCAATAATGATACAGTTTTATTGAGATTTTTAAAGTCAGGGAAGTAATAGAAATTTTTCTAAATGAAAAACTGTTCATGACCACTATCATTCAATAATGAATGGCTATGAAAATAAGCATTTGCTACAGACATAATGGGATATCTTAATGAAATAAACTTAAAGAAAAAAATAGTGCTCATATGTGAAACATATTTTATCGTAACGTCTTATCGCAAAAATTTGCATTGTTTGAAACACAAATGACATGAAACAAGTTTCGTGATTTCCCATGCTGTAAAAATTTCAAATATAGCAAAATCCCCATCCCCCCTCAAAAAAAAAAAAAAAAAATCAAGTGGATATATTTTCTGAAATTATAGTTAAGCAGCATTTTTCAAATCTTGATGCAAGTGTTAAGGCATTTCCAAATTTCACTGTACAAATGAGAAGCTTCTGTCAAACCTTCAATGGGAAGTGCTTGATCTGCAGAATGATATTTAAAGAAAAGTATCTAACATAATTTTACAAATATCTTTTGGAAGATAAATATGGTCATTTAAAATCTCATGCATGGGGAATTATATCTATATTTGGGAGTATTTACCAATGCAAAAAGACATAAAAATGAAGTTGTGGAAAGTCTGTACTATATAGATCATTATTAACAGATGACCATTTGCAAACAACATTAATGATTAATACTAATTTCAAACTTCAGCATGGTGAAATATTAGCTCAAAAAAAAAACTATTGCATTCATTGCATGAATATAGAATTTAACTTATTTTAATATAATATGTATATTAATTTTATTTTTATGTATTTATTTTTGTAAGTGTCAGCAAAATGTGTATAAATATTATGTAAAAATATCACTTCCTAAAAAATTTTTCAATTTTTATGGGCCGTCAAAGCCTAAGATTTTTGCAATCAACATTTGCTGATCTCTTACGTGATGGTATTTGAAACAATGATAATACCATCACAACTTTCACAATAAAAGAGGAGGAACATATTTACTTTAATATATGTAAAATTAAAATTTATAAAATATGTTAAATATATATAATTCACATTATAGTAATAAAATTAGACTGTTATGATTAAGAAATCAAATTTGGAAATCTGAATGGACAAAGACTTTTTTTTTTTTTATTTAGCAGTTGTTTATACAGTCAAAAGTCGTTAATCCGGATTCGTCGGGACTTCGGCGATTCCGGATTATCGATTTTTCCGGATTATAGATCATCAGTTTAAATCTGGTAAGATGGCATGCAGAAATTATAAAATTAAAAATATGAAACCGTAATTTATGAAATAAAGAACAATTATGATCTAAAGGGTATCAAAATTTACAAAAAAAAAAGCTTAATATTTATTTGTTTACTTTACTTTCTTCGCTATCGCAAGTGAAGTATAATGACGAGGAATTTGATTTAAATCATATCAAAGATAGAGTACATCGAGATGACATACTACATTTAGTAAGGAATTATAAGGCAAATAAAATAAAAACATTTGCCTTGAAGATAAGGATAGTGCTGACAGATCAACTTCCAATTCATTGTGTGCTGCGGCATCCCCCCGTCGCAGAGCAGCGTGAAATTGATAAACAGATTTCGGAATGGTTAGATAAACAAAGGATATGCCTTTATCCATTTTTTGCAGCAATTTCACTTTTTGTTTAATGGACTTCGAAACATACTTTCGCTTTGTAGATCCTTTACATATTAGTAAATATATATCGGAAATTCTATTTGACATAATCGAAAGTTCAAGCTTACTTTTATAAAATTGCTCTAACAGTCTGCAAAAAATAATAAGCCGGATCCAATTCAAAGATTAAGCAACAACGCAATCTGCAACATTAACTGAATTAGATAATTTTAGCTTAGCTTATACTGTCCATTATACATTAAGCGCTCATGCGTAAACATATTTTGGGCATGCACACACGCATATTCGCAGCCGTAAAGGTCTTACGTGCATGCGTCAAAGAGACGCATGCGCAGAAAGTTTGCAGCTTTGAGGTCCGGATTATGGGTGTCCGAACTAACGACTTTTGACTGTAGTAAATGATTTTTTCAGGGGGGTCTTGCTGTTTTCTATTTATTTTCTAATCTAAATCAGTGCCTTCATTGATTTGCATTGTATCTCAGTGAAATTTTATAGCACTTATAATGCAGGTTTTACCTAAAAGAATAGATGAAATGCTTGTAAACCAAAAAAAAAAATTTTTTTTTTTATTTTTTTTATTGGAAAGCATTTAGTACTATTTAATAGTTCTAAATGCTTCTTCAAGTTTAAACAAGCTAAAACCTTCTCTTTTCATATGTTTTTATTAAGTCAGCATTATATGAAGGCTTTTGATATCAGGTGAACAATATGGCAACTAACCAGATAGAATTTTTGTGTGTGAGAGGCAACTACCATATTTCAGTTATGGGCAACATATATTTCAGGCAAAATAAATTCTGTTATTATTGTGCAGTGTTGTCTTTCAGTATTCTCTGGTAAGCAACTATCCACAGGGCTACCTATCTTTAAATGAAGCCAGAAATGCAAGGAAATTAATGCATGATATTTTATTTCTTGTTATTAATTTAATAATTTATTAATTTTTGATTTATCTATTTGCATTTTATTAAATTTTGATTTTAATTACTTAATTGTTTTTTATCTTAATTTTATTAGTTATTTTATTTTTTATTTATTTACTTTTCTCTCTACTTCCTGATGGCTTCCCTTATGGCTCTGGCATTTTTAATTTTAGAAATTGAGCCCAGGTATTATCACCTCAGCATCAGCACTTCTGTTACATCATCTTTACTTATTTCTAAATTCCTTTAACAAGGATATAAAAAAAAATTGCCACTATTATCGTCATTATCATCATCGCCATGAAATTGGTGGCTGCACCTAAATTATGCCAAGCATAAAATTAGCTAAGCAACAACCTTGCATTTGGTGTAGATTTAATCAGTCAGTTTCGAGGACAAACAGGTACACGCCCCTCCTTATCAAGCATTTTTAAAAATATCTCCAGACGTGTTCTCCCATGATCTTGCAATGCTTCACAAGGTAAATTTTTTGCTAAAATATTTTTTAAATTCTTAAATGGTCTTATCAATGTTCAGGAAATTTGGCACATATTTTAAAAAGGCTACTGTATATTTTGGGGCATTGTTTACTCTTAAATGCTCAAGGTCATTTATTTTTTCCATTTCTGAAAGGTTAACAGTTTTGCATTCCCACAGCGTTTGCACATGCCAAAATCATTAATCTTACTTTGGAATCCTTGGTGCCAGTTGCGAGCCTTCTCTGCAGAGGCCATTGTTTTAGTAGAATTCACCAAGGAATTTTAGTATGCATATTCCTGGAAA